CACAAAAAGCAATCATCCCACTTCTTTCGATACCCCTCACAAGAAAATAAACCATCGAATATGGCCTTCTATCTGCTCGCCGTGCTTGCCCTTAGCACCTTCATTGGTCAGGCTTCTGCCAAAAAGGATGAGTTCCCGCTGGTGTGGATCTGCCTCGGCATCACCGTTGTCGGTATCATCATCGCCCTGTACGTCGCGTACCGCCGCCCCGATGAGCTGCACCTGCCTGGCATGACGGCAATGACGGTAAAGGAGCAGGAATCCATTCCTGGAAACGTCGAACCCCAACAGAGAGAAAATGAGGGGGTTTAAAATCGATACCCCTCCCCTGTATGTCAGTTTCATGACCGTTTAGAGCTGTTGGTTATTTTTTTTAAATATATTCAAACGTATATATATATATATATATTCATAGTATTTATATTTATGCATTTGAAGCAAAAAAGACGGTTTGCAATAATTTGGCATTTAGTTCTGAAATAATTGATTACTAATTTGTGATTTGTCTGTTCTGGTATAATCATTTGTACTAATTTTTAAAGTTTTTAACTAACTTCTTACTAAACCATATTGGTAATTACTCATTTTTTCTGTTTTACGGTATGAAGAAGGGAAAAAATAGCAATTTTTGTAAATCATGAAATCAAGTGCATTACTTAGTCAAATTAAGACATAGGTGTTGAATGCATGCTAGTTGGAGGATATATAATTTCTAAGGTAGTTAGAATTTTACTTGAAATATGTATTTTAAAATACTCTAATGGCTAATTCTTTAAAATTTCATGTACTTCACGAAGTCAGAAAGTCACTTTGAAGTAGCGCTCTGAATATGCTGAACAGAGACTTTTCTCTTTATGTTCTATCTAGTTCTTTCTCTCCATTTTTTCTGTAACTTCTAAAATTCATGTACCACTTTTTAATTTTATCACATCCAAAAAGTAATCAAAGAAAAAAGGATCAACACGCGATTAGGTAATTTCCTTTCTCCTGCTTTACAAAATTTCTCCCCCATACCGTAAACTTCACGCGAATGGAGCCTAAGCGGAGCGGCAATGCCACCTGTCTCGAACGTGCCCGTGAGCGTGAGTATTGGCAGCATTGTCAACGTATTTTAAGCCAGAATGCGAGGATCAACAATTCAACCCCAAGCAGTTTTATGTTCAGGCGACCCATCGGTGAGGGTCCGATCCGCCCGCATGTGTCCGAGCGCAATCGCCAGATAAACCTTGATAATACCAAACTTGTTGAGCGGATGTTGAACATTATGCAGACCCAGGGCGGGATCGACAACAGCCCGCCATGGCGGGATCACAACAAGGCCATCAACTCCCAGCGCGTTCGCGAGGTTAACCAGCGCCGTATAGCGGATGAAAATCTTAAGCTTCTTGGGCGCCTCGAGAGGGTTCGGCCGGTGTACAATGCTGAGCAATTTGAGTTAGAACACGCTCAAAATGAGGAATATGCTGCGCGTATTAGCCGTTATCCATATCGCCGTATAAACAGATATGGAATGGTGCCGTACGACAAGATGTAGCTCGCAAAGAGTAACAGTAGGATCACAAACAGACGCATCACAACGGAATACACAGGGATAAACCTGACCTGCCAATTTATTGAGCAACATTTTATAGTGTGTAGAGCAAGAAACCCTGATTACTCTACGCAAGGTGGACTAGTGCGTGATGATATTTTTTATACATTATTCTCCTTAGATGCTGTACCTGGATGTCTTTTGAAACCATTTCTCCTCATTCATATATATCTTTTGTAATCCACACAATAATTAGAAACGAAGTAAAGACGGGACAAAGCATGGATGGAATTTTTTTTTTATAGAAAAAAATGTGGAAGCCTTAATATTTTTATTTTTGATTCAAATGTTTTTAACCTTCATTTTCTGTTTTCTTTTACTCTTTGACTATTCTTTCTTTTATGTAAGAGTGTTGTGTGGAGGGAGAGGAGAGAGGGAGGGAAGACTCTTTTTCTTTATTTACGCTCAGATGAACGTCATTTTAACAGAACACATCTAGCATTCGGGCCTAAGTGCTATTTTTGAAGGTGACTTTGCGCACATGCGTGGTTCTATCGACGAGTCTTCGTTGTGTGTATACGTCAGCAGCTCCTCAACGACAGCGGCGTCGAGACTACCGAGGAGGTCCGATCCACCACCACTGTTATCGCGAACAGCGCACCGCAACGATTTTCCACGAAGCAGTCCTCCGCCCCCAAGGTGGTCGTCACGGGTGACCACAACATCCGAAAGACGATTCCTTTCACACGCCTTATCACGTCTCGGATGGCGACGGGGTGATTCCGTCCGCCCGCCCCACACTCCGCGCGGAATTCTTCGCTTGTGTTGCCGGGCACCTTGCCCTTCGCGCGTCTTTGTGGTGGGCAATAAGGTAGTGGACCTGCTTGAGGGAGGGGAGGGGGAGGAGGGGGCAATCGTGAAGTGATGTGAACTGAGCCCTGCCGCAGTTCTCGTGCGTGCCTCACCGATTCGGAGGTGCCGGTGTCTTCCTTTTTCCCCCCGCGGGGCGCCGTAGTGAGAGGGGTGAGGTGTGCTAAATGACCGGCTCGGCACCTCGACTCCACGCCATCTCAACTTTCTGCCGGGTATGCATAACATCAACGGCGATGTGGACTACGTGCGTCGTGGTCACGACAATGAGGAGCTTATTGGAATGGGTAAAAAGAGAACCTTTCGATCTATCTGTGGAGGGCAAAGGGAGATGTGGAGATGACCGAGGGAAGGCAGCTATGGGGATTCGAAAATATTCAGAAAAATACTCGGATGCGTTTCAACAAGAACGGCAAAGTGACAGGCCCTACCAGAGCATCAAGATGCGAGAATGCACCATTTAAAGACATTACGAAGGGTAATTGTACAGAGAATGTGATTCACATCAGGAAACAGCGCTATAACTGGATAGAAAACATGAATTCAAGTGTCAGTGTATCCTGATGTACTAACCAATCTTGCAAATGCTTAGGGAGAGAGGATATCGAGCCATGCGAAGTGCTAATGGATGAGATATTTACGGGGCAATACTTATTATGTGTTGGCATCAATTTTATTTTCTTCACAACAGGTGTTTTTGCCTTCAGATGATATCTTTTCATCTTTGATTTATTGTTCCATTAATTTGATGCGCTACATTAGTTTCTTTCTTTTGCATGTGAAAGTTGTGATGAAGATATGAATGCCAAGTGAGGCGTACTTCGAGTTAGTTTATGGGTACATGTGGAGAGACATATGATGAGGGTATTTCGACATTCAAAGCTGTATTTACGTAAAGATACATGGTGCCGACCCTCTGTTTGAAGGTAAAAAGGGCCCTTTTTCTTGCCTTTTGACTCTACCTGTCACATTGCCCTTCATGTACGCAGTGGCTTTCATAGGAAATCCTTCTTTGCCTTCTCTTCTTAAGTGCAGCCTTTTGTAAAAAGGCGGAGTTGTTCATGAGGATAACTCCTTGATCAAAACAAACAAAAGATCATCAGCCCCTTTAGGCTTTTCAAAAAAAAAAAAAATGTGAGCAGGTTGCAGAACTCCTCTTCCCCGTTGCATTTTCTGTTCTCCTCGGAGTCTGTGTTTGCTGTTACACTTTCCTTGATCTGTTAACACATCTTCATTCTCAACTCCACGATTTAATTTAAA